CCCCCGACCCCACCCCAACCCCCACCGTGCGCGCTTCTCAGCGGGCAGCTCTGCCATGTCATCCCGGGCCTCAGCCAGCAACGCATCAGACAGCTCCAGGTCGGGCAGGTCCGGCTCGGGGAAGTACCTGCCAATCGGAGGTTTGTTCGGAGGGAATGCCAGCAGAGGGGGTTGGCAGTCTCTTCGCCGGCGCGGGCCGTCGCAGCAGAGGTTCGGTCTGTGGCGTGCGCGTCGGGGGGACGGCAGCCGGGGAGACAGGGCAGCTGCTGCTCCACCTGCAAGGGCACGACAGAGTGCGGTGTGTGGCCCCCCCATATAGCGCGCGGTGGGCTTCACCTGTAGTCTGCGAGCCCCTCCTTCTTGCGCATGCTGGTGGTCTCCTGCCGCCCCTCGTCCCACAGCCGCGTCTCCTGCACCACCTCCGCCCCGCGGCCCGCGCGGATCAGCGACACCTGCACGCGGCGAGGGTGGGGGGCCGGCAGGCGCATAGCAAGTGGGACGCTCTCCTGGCCTCCAGAGAAGCCACAGCCTGGCCCTGGCGCCACCACGTTGCATCCTGCAACACTCCCGGATGCGGTCGACCGCAGCGCCGCCGACGCGGGGCGTCCCGCTGCAGGCCGTGAGGCCGTGGGCCCGTCCCGCAGCTGCCCGGCAGCTGTTCAGTCCTCCCACCTGTCGGTCGATCTCGAACTCGATGGCCTTCTGCATGTTGCTGAAGCTGTTCATGTTCTTGACCTCCACCTTGGTGCCAAACGCCTCCTGGCCCTTGGGCCGCACACTCACCTGCGGGGATGTAGAGGTTGAGGGGCGCGCGTGTGAGTGGGGGATATGTGGCAGGCAGGGAGAGTAGGATGGCCGATGTCGGAGAGGGCGCAAGCGACATTCAAATGTCCACCAGGGGGACTGGGGTCGCCGCATGGTCGTGGGGCCTGGTGTGTGTGATGCCACTCGTTGATGACCTCCCCACACGTGCATGGAACACACTCGGCTCACCAACAATCCCAGACCGGACAGCACTCACACACTTGAGCATCCACCCACAGCGCGCACGCCAGCAAGCGCGCGCGCACACACAAACACACACACACATCCACTCTCACAAACGCACCCCCCCCCCCGCAACCCACGTTGACGTCGCAGCGCATGGAGCCCTCCGCCATGTTGCCGTCGCTGATGCCCAGGAAACGCATCACACGCCGCAGCTCAGCGCCGTACAGCGCCGCGTCCTTGCCGCTGCGCATGTCGGGCTCTGACACAATCTCAAGCAGGGGGACGCCTGGAGTGTGTGGGTGGGGGGGTGTCGAGGGGCGGTTGAGGGGTGTTTGGGGG